ATACATACATACATACACATACATTCATACCCATACATACATACATACATACATACAAACATACATACAGACAGACAGACAGACAGACAGACAGACAGACATGTACGGTGTGTGTATATACATGTCCATATATATGTATATGTATATAACACTGCACGTGATACGCAAGCTGCTGTTCTCTTGTCGTCGCGGGCCTGGCCGCCGAGATATCCTGGCAAAAACTTCTTCGGGTTGGTCCCAAATGGCCCGGAGAGGTCCAACCCCACCCCGGCATACTCGGCAACAAGCCTGGGTTCAGGGCTTCAGGCCGACAGGGTTGAGGATTTAGGGTTTAGGGTTTTAGGGTGTAGGGTTGAGGATTTAGGGCTTTAGGGTTTAGGGTTTATGCTCCAGCCGAGCAGGCTTTAGTTTAGGGCGCCGTTTAAAACAAACCTAAACCCAAAAAGGAACCAGGGTCCCTTAAGACTCCCAAAGCGTCCTGAGTACCTATATGGGGAATACTTACCCAAACCATAATACTAAGTCCTATTATCGAGACCCTATTTCCTACTATGTAGGCCATGTAGGCATTCAAGACTCTTTGGGATTGACCAAGAAGCAGGGGCTGGCCAACGCGGCCGCTGACGTGCTTGGGGGCCAACGTTTGGAGGACTTTGGCGAACTTGCAGGTGGTTTGCGAGTAGTCATGGAGGGACCAGATGTCCGTGTCTACCTCAACATCGAATACTATCATGCACTATGGTGTTCTCCAAAACAATATTGAAAAAGTCGTGGCTTCACGACCCTGTGCTTTCAAGCGAAAGGGACCTTACCCAATACCAAAAGAAACAGCATGTGTGCAGCACAAATGCCCTCCACCTGAACTCCGATTATTGAGCCCTCGTCAGCCCCGCTCCCCGGAGCAGTGAAAAGCCCGGATGCATGTATCCAGCCAGACGAGTCATGGACGGGACGTCTTTGGAGGTCCCTGGATCGGATAGTCCTCACAACGCCACACACCAAGGCCTCGCACCAGGCTCTTCAGCTTCATGGTTTTAGGGTTTACCTTACCTGACTACCTTTGAAAGCTCCCAAAAGGTGTCCTGAAGTTTCTTATGGCTTACGAAAGACCTTGTTTAAGGGGCTCTAGAACCTCCAGGACATCTGAAGTTCAACCGCCAGATGACAGACGTCTTAAAGCCAACCTACCACGCTGCTCCTGAACCTTCAAGAGGCATGTCAACTCCTGCATCCATCCCCCGAGCACGAAACCCCGAACTGTTCCAAACGGAACCACGCAGGTCCGGATGTAGGGATAGGCGCTAGATAATTCGAAATACATGCGGCAGGTTCCTGAACGTAACTTTACCAGCCAAGACAAGGCCTTGTGTCGGTTCATGATCTGTGTGCGGCGGCTGGGGGAATACCTGGAACAGAATCAAACCAACAAAAACCAAGACAGGACATGGGGAAAACTCGATCCACGCACCATCGCAGGCCCGAGGTTGAAAAACGGTTCCAACCATGCTCCGATGCTATCAACTCCTGACTGAAAGGCCCTGCTTTGAAATTTAGGGTGGCTAGGCCTTGGGGTTTAGGGTTTAGGGGTTTAGGGGTTTTGGGCTTTAGGGTTTTAGGGTTTAGGGCCCTGTGTACTTTGAAACCCTAGAATATGGCAAACTCCTGGAATGTACTTCAATCCTGTAAACCGTAAGCCGGACAAGACCCTCCAGTTGTTGCTTATCTTAGTATGACCAACTGCAGGTCGTTTCAACTAGCTTCAGTCGTAAGAGAAATATAACTACAACTACAATTCTTGTTCATTCTGCTTATTCTGCTTATTGGTGGTTTTTTGAGTACTGTAAGCTTCGTCACTATAGTGTTATTACTACAGCTGTCATGCTTCGCATTCTTGAGTACAGTAGTACCCTTGACAACCATTAGCATCCTGCGGGGCTCTTCCAGCAGACATGCCACGAATCAAGCCAGAGTTCCCCTCGTAACAAAATCGATGCCAACATGGAAGCAGAGCTGCAATATAACGGCCTTCATAGTTAGGATAGGGTCTCGGGAAGGGGGGGTATAATCCAATATGGTTATAACCTGGAAGTCTAGGGAGTAATATTCCTAGCTACTTATCAGGCTTTTGTACTGGTGTTTCTGCTCGTCTTTGATAGTTTCCTGCCTACAGAGCTCTTGAGAGATCAAATCCTCGAGAAGAGCGCCTGGGCCAGCAGCTCCATAACGTTTAGGGTCTAGGCTTTGGGGTTTTGGGGTTAGGGTTTAGGGAAGTTTAGGGTGCCCCAAGACCTCCTTAGATTATACACACAATTATGACGAGGATAAGCGAACAACTCCGAATAACCCAATGGACTTGTGCAAACCCTGTTTTGGGCTGTGCGCTCCCTTTCCCTGGACCCCAAGATTCACCAAAACGCCCTGCAAGCCCCTAGCTTTATTCTATAGGGCATTAACATTCAGAACGCGGTTCTGAGGTGTCTTCTGCAGCATAATTATGCTATGGGAGTTAGGATTAGGCGGAGCCGTAGGGATATAGACCCTCTCAATAATAATTAAAGTCCCCTTTAAAGGAGCCAAAAGTGGGGTTAAGAAGGGTCCCCTTTAAGGGGTCTCCCTAATACTACCCAGCATGCTAACGAGCCCAAAGGGACAGCACTACTTAAAGGTTCATGGGACTTATAGTAACTAAGGTTACAAATAAGGTAACCATACATATCTAACCCCAATGAAGGCACTTATAGCTGTACTTATTAAGTCCAGCAACCTCCAAGTAGATCCTAAACCCTAAACCCCTAAACCCCTAAACCCCTAAACCTCTAAATCCCTAAACCCCTAAACCCCTAAACCCTAAACCCCTGAACCCCTAAACGCCTGAACCCTAACCACCTTCCAAAGCCCCCGAACTAAGCGCCTCGACCAGAAGCCGCCCCCTGGGCCGGCGTGGAGCTTCCAGCCGTGCTTTGGGCCAAACTCATTGAAGGCTCCCCAGGCCAAGATGCCTGGGAATATTCATGTTTTTTTGGGGGGTTTATGGCTTATATGGTTAAGTTTTTGTCTCCTTTAGAGATTAGGGTTAAATTTTTTCCTACCCCTAAACCGTAAACCCTTTTCATATTGGCTTAGGCTCCACCATGTAAGTTCCGTGCTTCGCGGTTCGGTGGGGGGGGGGGTTTTGTTCACCGTTGCCTAGGGCTCCAAGACCTCGGGCTTGTGTGGATTAGGCCCTCAACCTCGACAAGGCTACAGCCTTTAGGGTTAAGGGATTGGGGGGCCGTTTTGAGTTTAGGGCTTAGGGTTCAGAGTTTAGGGTTTGAGCTGCGACACTACCTCGCTAGCAGCTGCAATTCATGGAACACTACTAATACGGTCAACATCCATACTCAGATTTTCACGGTCCTTCGTAGTCTCCTTACACCCTCAGCCCCATGTCTGATTCCCAAGAAGCCGTCCCTCAGAGCCTCCGAAAAAACCTTGAGGAATGTGCCTTAACTCATATTAGGTTCCTACAATAATGTAAAGTGTATTCCTTACTTAAGGAATATGCCTTAAATCATACTAGGGTTCCTACTATGGTTGTTGGTCTATTCCTTACTTCAGGAATATGCCTTAAACCACATTAGGGTTCATACTATAGTTGTTGGTCTATTCCATACTTCAGGAATATGCCAGAAAACCGTATTAGGGTTCCTGGAAAAGTTGTTGGTCTATTCCTTACTTAAGGAATATGCCTTAAGCCATGTTAGGGTTCCTAGTAGGGTTGTTGGTCTATTCCTTACTTAAGGAATATGCCGAAAACCATAGTTACTATAGTTGTTGTTCTATTCCTTCATTTAGAAGTCTCTGGGCACTGGCCCCTATAAACCCTAAACCCCTATAAACCCTAAACCCCTATAAACCCCAAACCCCTATTAACCCCAAACCCCTAAAACCCTAAACCCCAATTAAACCCTAAACCCCTGTAAACCCTAAACCCCTATTAAACCCTAAACCTCCTGCCAGGCCGGCCATGTCCTCGGCCAGGACACAAGGGTGGTTCTGCCGATCAGCCACCAGGCATTCCCACTCCTGGGAGGTCGGGACGCAAGGGATCCGACAACCTACTGGTGGCTTAAGGGAGAATGGAGGGGGCCGGGGAATATCAAACAAGGACTACTATACGGGAACCAAAAAAAAAAATATATATATATATATGGGGTCGATTTGGGTACCCACTCTCCCACTCAGTAATGTCAGGTACAACAAAGACCCCTGAAGAATTACCACCTTAGATTTCACCATGTGGTTCGCACTACGACTACCACATACTCAAACCCTATTGTTTCCATTACGACCTCCTTTTACCCTATAAACCCTACGGCCCTAAACCCTCAACCCTAAACCCCAAACCCAATACCCTCAACCATACATCCTCAACCCTGTCTTCTAAGTGGAATCTTTTCCCAAAGGGTCCTAGGTACAGTTATGTGCAATACTTTCCCGAATCACCATCGTAATTCCTAATGTCCTAATATATAACCCCTACATTCTACTATATAGGTCCTTTGGACCTTTTGGGTTTTGGGGCCCGGAACTCCTGCGCCACGGTCTTTGCGTACGACTTGGAGACCTCCCACCGGGCCGAGAAGCCCCCGTTCCAATCCTGGGGTTTAGGTTTTCAGGGAGATTAGAGGGTTCTTTAGGGTTTGGGGCTTAGGGCTTCGGGGGGTTTAGGGTTTGGGGGTTTAGGGTCAACGCTGTTTTAGCAGCCTTTATGTTTTTTGGTTGTTCGGGTTGAGGGCGGTTTTCTAGTTATTGTTCTGAGGATTTTGCAAGATTTAGTGGGGTCTTTCGGGTTTCATGGATTCAGAGTAGGGTTTAGTCGCGAGAATCACAGGCTTGCCGTTCCTGACCTATGGCGCAGGGTTTGAAGGGTTTTGGGTTTAGCAAGTCCGAGAGAAGCCGAGAATCTGGATACTCCCACAAAAACCCCAAACCCGAAACCCTACACCGAGTAGCCGAGAAGCTGGGTACTCCGAGAAAACCACGAAGCCCAGCTCATCCGCATAGCGATAATACCAGGGCTCGAAAGCCTTCGGTTTTAGGGTTTGGGGGTTTAGGGGCTTCGGGGTTTAGGGTTAGGAGTTTCGGGGTTGAATTAGGGTTTAGGGTGAAGAAATCCTAGCGCCTCTACCCTACACCGCCATGGCATCACAGTAACCTTTCATGTTACCTTTACTTGGGCAAATGGCCTTCTGGTGCAGCCGTGCCCCATTGAAGCCAAAGCTCATGGCCAGCTGGATATCCTTCTTCAGCGCCTGCGGTGCTTCGGGAACCCCGAACTCTAAACCCTATAAGTCCTAAACCCTAAACCTTAGAAACCCTAAACCCTATAAACCCCAAACCCTAAGCCCTATAAACCCTATACACCCTAAGCCCTATAAACCCTACGTGCAGGATTCGAGCTTGAGTGTGCTTTTTTGTAGTCTATGGACTGTTTTGGGGCAACCCATACGCCCCTAAGTAGTTCCTTTTTGGGATTACCTTATAAGATTCTAAATATAAACCATAAAAAGGAACTAGTTAGGGGCCTATAGGTACAGGGATCCTACATCCTAGAGGCAATCGGAGCTCACTTCAGGGCTCCTGGGCCGGGATTAGGGGTTCAGGTTTTAGGGTTGAGTGTTTAGGTTCAGGGTTTAGGGTTTAGGGTTTATAAGGTTTAGGGTTTAGGAGTAAGTGCTACGGTGCTTCGATTGGGAGTTGCGACGTTCTATTCGAGTTCAGGGAGTCGAGTGCTTCGAGACGCTAGTATCTCCCTAAACCCTAAACCGCAAACTCGCAACCCTGACTTGCTTGGACATTCATCTCTTGGTACAGGAACTTAAAAGAAAAAAACAACTTGTGGCTCCAGTGGCGCAGACCTTTGGGAGGATCCAAAAAATGGGGTACCTTAAGGGGTGGTTCCAAATACCCCTTCAGAAGCAATAAAAAATATGGGGGCCTCAATACTTACCTATACCATTTTGGGGGTTCCTTATTATACTTACAGTATAATGGATCCCAAAACCCTATTCTAATTATTAAGCCCCTATCGCCCTATAGTATCCCCATCTCTTGGCCCTTTGGCGCCTCTTTAGCCGGAGCCGTCCAGAGCCCGTCAGGGTAGTACCCCTGGTCCAGGACGAGTCGCAAGAAGAGCGGCCGCCTGTTGAGCAGAATCTCGTCACCTGATGGTTTAGGGTTTAGGGTTTAGGGCCCTGCTTTCACCAGGGCCTCTCTTTGCTGGGCTGTTGTGCGGGAACTTATGATAGGTTCGAGGAGTTCATATCTTATGCAGAGAGAGAGAGAGACAGCGATCGACAGAGAGAGATTTACATAGTTAAATTAAGATATGTTTGTTTTCACAATGTCCTAGCAGATACCGCGTCCAAAACTCCCGTTTGTGGCTGCCCCTCGCCTCGTATGGACACCACGCGAAGTGCAGTGTAGGACATGACCTGGCTGCAGCTGCACGAACGTTGCAGACAGCCGTGAACCCTAAGGGTCCATGTGCCTAGGTAGTATACACTTCAGCATGAATGTAGGCCCCGGCCCATATAATTAGGTACTTTAGGGCCAATGTATCTACTATATGGGCACATGGACCCTTAAAGGAAGCCTTAAATGTCTAAAACCCTAAAACCTCACCCCTTAGCACGGTAGTTTCGCGCTAGTCTCACGTAACATAGGAGTCCGAATGCTTAGTCATAATGTCCGCTGATAGCCGCTATCTAATTATACCATAATATTCTTTTCAAAAACATTTTAAAAAACTAGCCCAAAAGGCCTCGTCCACCACGGTGCCTGCGTCGAAAAGCCGATACTTCCTCGGTTCGGGTTTAGGCAAGCTCTAGGCTTTGGGGTTTAGGATTGCTGCTCTCTGTTTTTGTTGGGCTCAGGTCTGCGTGGTTTAGGGGTGTCCCTACACCCTACACCCGTACCTTGGGGTTTAGAGTTTCGGTGGTAACATAAGGCTTTGGGATTTGCAGCTTTGTGGATCCGTGGCATTGGCATTGGCTGATGATAAAACGGATTGGAGTTAGGTTCTTTTAGGAGGTTAGGGTTTAGGGTTGCTTTTTTTAGTGCAGTGACCCTTTCACTCAGCAGCAGCACAGCTAAGGTCAAAGACCCTAGGGTTTAGGGTGTAGGGTTTTAGCGTTTAGGGTTTGGGGGTTTGCGGTTGAGGGTGCAGGGGTCCAAAAGCCAGAGCGAGGTGCTTGGGCTTTGACCTTTGGGCTCTCGTTCGGGACAGGGATGTAAATCTACTAGACAAACATCAAGCATACTTCATGTTGATGATATAAATCCTGCATTACCCATAATAAGGAATATACCATAATTTCGATAGGTTAGGGTCCTTGAGGTAATGCAGGATTTATATCATCAACTGTATGGAGCGCATGCTACCCCAGAGACACACAATACAAGCCCGCCACACCTCCCTGTTCTGCATCTATCAAAGCAAAACCGTCAGCGAACCACAAACAAAGCCCAACACAAGAAGAAAGCCCTACCTTCAGCCCCAATAACCTACCCTTTTCAGGACTTCTCTAAGGATCTCATAAAAGTTATGAGCCCGTAAAAGGGAGTTAACAAAATCATGAGCCCTTAAAACGGGAGGTTTTTCAGGGTATAGGCCCTAAACCCTAAGCCCAAAAAGAAAGAACGCTGCCCCACTGTGGCCGCCACGCTGCAACCCGTAGAGGTAGGGGCTGCCGGGACCCCAGAGCCGCACAAAACCTAGGTTCTCCGAGAGCCCCTGGGTTTAGGGTTTAGGGGATTAGGGCTTATGGGTTTAGGGGATAGGGGATTGGGGTTTAGGGGTTTAGGGTTTAGGGGTTGGGGTTTAGGGGTTTAGGGTTTTGGGTTTAGGGGTTTAGGGTTTTAGGGTTTAGGGTTTAGGGTTTAGGGTTTAGAAGAACCCAAAAAGAATGAGGGCAAAAAGGGCAAACTACTGGAGAGCTTAGCTACCCTTCGGAATTTGAAGCCGGAAGGACGAGACTGGCAGTTTTGTGCTGGTGCGCGCCAGCGGCACCTTACATGGGACTTCGGTTGTAGGCTGGTGGGTTCTTTCATTCTAAATCCTTTTTTGGGGGGGACCAAATCACTGGTCTAGGGTTCCGGGTTGCAGGTGTAGGGTTCGAGCATACAGGGTTCAGGGTATGTAGAGTTTAGAGTTTACAGTAGTAAAGGCAGTAAAGGGCCTAGTGTTCAGCGTTCATCGTAGTCACCACCACCATCGTCTTCGTCATCTGCCCTAGCAACAACAACATACGAGGAGCAGCACAGTAATCATAAGGCTAATGATGGCCTAGGATGATGATAATGTATAATAAGAATAACAATAGGAAGAAGAAGAAGAAGGAGCTGTGAGGCTCCAAGCACGAAACCTCTGGCAGTAAGATCTGAAGATACGAGATCCTGCAGAAAAGTTGCAAACCCTCACAAACAACATAAAACTGACAAGGGCTGTTCTGCGGCAACCCTGACCCTTCAGAGCCAACACCATGTCAGAGTACTCCATAAGCCCCGAACCAAACCCTAAACCCCGGCCGCCCTAGGCGCGGGACCTGAGCCTGAACCCTAACAGCCCAAACCGCAACTGCAACCTCAAACCAAAGAAAGCCGAAGCCCAAAAACACAAATTCTAGCCCTAAACCCTAAATCCCCAAAACCCTAAACGGCCCTAAACCCGTGGCGCCTTCCTTTGGGAATCCAGGAAGAGAATGATCTCAATCTCGAGCCACGATGCAGGGCAGCCCTCCGGCAGCTCAGGGCAGATCTCCAGTTCCCAAGTGTCCATCTCCTTTCACGGCTTCAGGCTTCAGAGCTTTACTTGGAGGTTCATGAGACTCAAAAAGTACAGTTATAAGTACCTTAACTGGGATGATTAAGTAATTTTCAGTCTACCTATCTTATGCATAACCCTAGCAACTAAGTCCCATGAACCTTTAAGTAGGGCTTTAAGGCTTGGGGTTTGGAGTTCTATAGGGCTTTAGGCTTTTAGGTTTCCCGGTTTGGAGTTTTTTTCTAAAAACCCCAAACCCCAGACTTGGTAGCTAACTGGGCTTCTATGGGGCTTAGGGGGTTTAGGGGGTTTAGGGGTTTGGGTTTAGGGTTTAGTTTAGGGTTTAGGGTTTAGGGTGGTCGTCCTGCTCGGGGCTGTTGAGGCACCTGGGGGCACACTGTACCCGCCGCAGCCGGCGCGGGGCCACCAGCTCGACCCAAACGCTCTGCCAGAGCCCCGTGACGTTCGAATACCTGGGCTCAGCCCTGAAGCTCTCTTTGGGGGGTTGGACCTGAAACCCTAAACCCCTAAACCCCTAAACCCCTAAACCCCTAAACCCTGAACCATAAAACCTACTCTACATCATCTGCCTTAACTGCAGCCTTAACCGTAGCTTGCTTTGTTGGTTGTACTTTGGTCTAAACCCACAACCCCAAACGGTCTTAAACCCGAAACCCTAAACCCCAAACGCTCTCTAAACCTCAAACAGGGGAACGTCCTGACGCTCACGCTCGCGCTTTTCGGAAACTCCCGAGTTCGCGAGAGATTGGACTGGAAGTCGTGTTTCAAACTCTTTGCGTTCAGCCGTAAGAGGCAACCATAGAACCTTTGAAGCAAGCCCTTGTAGAGCCCTTGAAAGGAATCCTTATAGAAAGCTTACGGGATCCCTAATACAAAAAACTCAAGTCGTCCCAAGCCGTCTTAAACTGTCAACCCCAAGCGATACCGTGATTTTGTGTATCCTGATTCGATTGGCGAAGCTGCCGTCCGAACTTTTAACCTCAAGTTTGACAGCTCGTCGCAACTATCAACTGAAAGCGCTCATCTAATCCCTCACCTAAACGGGTTTAGGGTTTAGGGGTTAAGCGTTTAGGGTTTAGGCTAAGACAAGAACCCTAAAACCCTGCACACGGCCAAAATGGAGCCCGCATGCACCCTGGAAGCCCTAAAGCCCTCAAAACCCCTTAACACTCAGCCCAACACAGCGAGCCCGAAACCTAAACTCTCTTACACCGAAAACCCCAAAAACAAGGACCTAAAAACTACCAAAAAAGGGAGACCCCCCTGGGCTGCCCACAGCGTCGGCACGTGGGGGCCTTTGCCAGCGTAGGCTTTTGAGACCAGCTGCTTCCCCCTGGGCTCCATGGCCCCGGAGGACATCTCCTGTGGTGCTCGAGGTTTTCAGGCTTTAGGGTTTAGGAGGGTTCCAAGGCCTTCTCGAGGGTCTAAGGTCGAAGGTTGAATTCTGGTTTTGGGGGCTTTTTCGTTGAGGTCCTTGACCACAAAGATGCTTGAGTTTAGGGTTACGGCTTACCGCACAGCCTTGAAGTTTCCATGCTCTGTCACGAGTTCGGCTTTCGGGTCAGAGTTTGATGGCTGGTGGTTCTGCAAGTGACTGACGGATCTCGCCAAAATTTTTGTTCTGATCTTCAACACAGCAATGACGCCTGTACACAGCAATGGTGGTTGTCATGAATTCGTTTTGTTTTCTTCCGGCATGTGGTTTGCCTGAATTCATAATGCGGAGTCGTGACAAGAGCAACCGCGGCTGCAGTACTAGAAGTGTCGTCGGTACAGTTTGAAAGCACAACGTCATCATCAAAAGCTGCTGCTGTAGCAGAGAATACTGGTAGTAGTAGCAGCACAGCCAGAGGAGAAGCAGTTCCAGCAAGATAGTCTGACTCTGTTGGTGGTAGTGGTGCTCCTGAAAACAGCAGAAGCCGCGGCTTTTAGTGTTGTTACTATGGATGTGATTGTAGTTTCAAGCTTCAATTGCTGTTCCTCCTCGTTGCTGTTCCTTGCTGTCGTCGTCGTGATTCCCGTCCTCTGTGGGATGTATTGTACCGGAACAAACCCAGGTCTCCTCGTGGTCGGCGCACTTGATCAGCACGGTGTCCTCCGATGTGTTTCGGAGGGCCTCCGTGATGTCGTACTCGAAGGCCGTGCTGCCGCCAATGTGTGGCTTCCCAACCGTCACTCCGTTGACAATCACCACACCTGGGAGACTTCTCAGCGTCATGTCTGAAAGAGGTCAACTGTGCTCCGTTTTCTTTGCAGACTAGCCATTGAAACAACCATGGAGGTCTTTGAAGCTTGACCAAGATGCAGGTGTAGTCGCAGGCACCGATGTGCAGGATGACACGCTGCCTTGCAGCTTCATCCGCCCCGGTTCGCCAGTTGCTTGGCAGTCGCAGGCACCGTCGATACCATAACCTTGCTTCATTGCATGCAGAACAAACTCTCAAGCCTAATCGAAGCCACCAGAATGAAGGAAGCATCGGATTGCAATCAATGCAGATATCCCTACTATGAAAACCAAAATGCAACTTCCTTGCAGCGAAGCAGCTCGTATCTCTTCCCCAAGCCAGGGGCACAGGGCGGACCAGCAAGCCCAAGCAGCTTCTTCCGTTTCACCGACAGCTTCGCCAAGGCCCCCGAAAGGGGCGACTGCAAGCAGAAAGGCACCAAGATCTCTCCGTCCCAGGTGTCGGGCGCCTTCACGGGATTTTTGCCATCTTTCGCCGGCCGAATGCCGAAGTCCCACGCACCGTTCAAGCTCCGCCACTCGCGGCGCTCGAAGAGGGGGTTGGGATGCTCGGGTCTCGGACATGGCACGGCCTCCATTCTCGGCTTTACTTACTCAAAACTTAAGAACTCTTTTTTTACCCCTAAACTCGAGGATTGTTGGCGATTTTTGGCAGCATTCAGGCGTCAGGGTATCGTAGCTTCGGCTCAGGGTAGGGTTTAGTCGCTTCGCGGTTCAGCGCATGGGTGCTGCCGGGAAATCATAAACGATCCCCGGCTTCTTCAAACCATCTGCAGCTGCAGGAAGATTGAAAGCCCTGCATTGTTGCGGCTTCGTCCCTGGTGTCAGCCCTCCCGCCAACAGCACAAAATGTCTCTTCAGCGAAGTTCAGGGTTGCACGTTCATGGTCTAGCGCTTGGGGTGTAAAGCTCAGACGCTGTTGCAAAGTTCCTTCCCCCAAACCCTAAACCCTAAATTTACTAAACCCTAAACCCTAAACCCTACCTAAGTCTAACCCCTCAACGTTGGATCTTAGCGTCCTACGACTAGAGACAACTTCCATCCACAGCAACCTATGTGAATTGACAACAAGCATGATCTTGCTCAAAATCCGACAAAACTTGAGTCAGCCGTAGCCTGGCAGATGTTAGCGAAAGCTCAGGGAGCTCTAAACCCTAAATCCTAAACCTTAAACGTTCACTCCTTATTCTTATAAGCCTTGAACCCAGGAGCCCACTCTTTTCAAAGTCCTGAAGTTGAGGGCAGAAACGACTTGTCGTTCAGAATCCGCCCTGAACCCACAACCCTACACATTATGACATTACGGCGTCGGGTTCAGAGTTCATGGGCAGGGTGTAGGATACTGTAGGGAGGTATCCAGCTCCACTGGGAAGCGTGCGATGTCCAAAGCCGTCCGTTTCCGCGCCTCGGTCTGCCTTAGACGGCTTGGCTTTGGGGATTTGTCTCACTTTATCCTCTTTTGGGGTCGTTGCACCACAAAATTGTTCACACGACGGTTTCGGGACACTAAAGACACCGTGGGGTTTTCCCGGGTTCAGAGCATCTTTCTGCGATTGGATTTTGGTTTAGGGTTTCAGGTCAGTCGGGCTTTCCGGGTTTAGGATTTAGGGTTTGGGATTTAGGATTTAATTAGGGTGTATAAGTTTAGGATTTAGGATTTAGGGTTTATATAGGATTTAGGGTTTAGGTGGTGAGGGACGAGGTTTAGGAGCTTGTGATTGAGAGGATCCCTTGCAGAAACCCGCAGTGGGACTGCTAATGCCTGGTCACTTGGTGTCTATATACTAGCACGCAGCTTGGAACATGTTACATATGACTTCAAAGAAGCTCCGTGCCCTCACCACTGAGCTCTCCCGCATCTTCCAGCAAGCTCAGCAACTGTTTGACCGCTGACTCCTCCTGAAGTCTTTGCAGGAGCCCCTAACGGAACCCTTAGATGAAGCCTCTTGCAATGAAACCTGGTACTTTGATGCCTGGAGCTTGCATCTTGACAACGTCCCTTATTGAAGGATGCCGTGTTGAAGAGCCCTGTGGTAGGCTTGGGGCACGAACCTTCCTTGTTTCAAACCCTGAACCGCTAAGTTCTGAACTGGTAGGCAAAACATTCCTAAACTAGCTGAACCTTTGCAAGCGTTTAGGGTGTAGGATTCTGAGCCCGAAGCACCACCCGGACCATCGTTGCTACAGAATGCAAATTACTAAACCTTATGCCGAAGCACCCCCGAATCCTAAAGCCTGAACCTTAAACTAGGCCCGATAAATGTACACCGAAGTACAGCCCAAAGACTCCTCTCAGATTCACCAAGCCCAACAGCGCTGAGACTCCAGCAATATCGAGCTGGCTATCTGCCACTGCGCCTGGCACACCGATATGGCCGCCTGGCCGCGGTTGAACTTCTCATTTCCGGGTTGGGATGTCATGCATCGACAGCAAAAGGGACAGCAGTTGTTTGTAGAACGATTAGGCTTTGATTGTTTCCGTCCTTATACTTGAATATAACAGGCTTACGAGCACATATGGCTACAACACACTTCAATATAACAGGCTTACGAGCACATATGGCTACAACGCACTTCACTTCATTGAAGTGTTGGTACATTTTTGCCACGATAGGGTATTGCTGTATTCAATGTTCTGTTCTGGACTCCTCAGCTTAACTCCGACTACACCGGACCAGGGTTCAGGGTAACAATCGGCGGGAATGGTCCACAAAAACCGGTCAAACTGACGTGCACGTCATATTATTCCTTGCAAGTTCTGTTGCGGGAATCCCCAACTGTAAACCTAAACCCTAAACCCCCCAAAAAAAGTCAACCCTCAACTAAGAGAATGATTCAGACTGCAGCCTCGAGCCACCCTCTACCCCCTCCCGGACAACCACTGTAGGGTTTAGGGTTTAGGGTTTAGGGTCATGTAATTGGGGTTTGGTGATGATTTGGGGCTTTTGTGGGTTCGGGCTTAAGGTTAGGGGGCTCAACAGTCATGCCAGCGCCGCGTTCGCGCCCACAGTGCCCAGGACACCCGCGCCGATGCGGGACCACATGCCCAAAGCCTGTGTCAAGTTTAGGCTTTAATCAAGCTTGGGGAGTAGGTTTGAGGTTTAGGGAAGTTCAGGGTGTAGCAAGTCATGGAGACCCCTTGGAAGATCAGTCTCCACCAATGGTGGGGAATCTAATGGGGGCATCCTAGTAAGAAGGCCCTGAAACAAAGGGGCGTAATTAGTTACGATAAGTCGGTGCACCCTAAGTCTAGTCTACACCAGAAGGTTCAAGGAAAAAGCTGCGACAAATAGACTATCACGGGCCAAGTGCCGTCTTGTTGAGAGTCTCTATAGTGTAATTAATCTTTTTCCGACTTCGGTATCTTCGGGATTTCACGCCCTGTGGAGATGCATGGCAAGTTTATGCTGGAAATCTCCATGGCTGCGACTCTTACGGATGTACTGGTCTCAAGCGCTGATTGAGTGCGGCTTTCGTTCGTGAGGGGGGCTCCCGGCATCAGCTTGAGACTGTGAGAGTTGGAGTTGTTTCACACGGGGCTGTAGGGCTTGGCTCGAGACCGTTAAATCCCGGCTGCGTTGCGTTACACTGTAAATGTCAATGCAATCAGCGACGCCAAGAATGGGAGTCAGAACAATGTTCTGAAATAGGAAGCCGGACTTGTCAGAAACAAGACTAACAAGCCCCACACCCTGAACCGACAAAACCTCTATACATGGTTTAGAGCTTTGGGGGTTTAGGGCTTAGGGTGTGTATGTGTGTGGATGCCTTGCGGTTTACGGCTTGAAGTCTACGTAGCGTAAACAAGGGTTCGCAAAAAGGGACTTCAGGGTATAGGGCTTGGGTTTGAGAGGGACCGAGATGTTCGTCTGGTCAGGGTGTGCGCTGCAAGCCGGTGCATTGCCACCCCGTACAGTAAAATCATTCCATGTGGTCGCAGTGCACAAACAACAGTCCTGCGGAATTGGCATGATTCTGCAAAGGACGCATGCTGCAAAAGATCAGGGCGCAGAACGTAAATCCTGTGCGTCCTAAGATCAACTGAAGACGACGAGGGACCCAGAACCCGAAACCCTGCAGAACTCAAAACCCTGATCCTTGTGACGCCCGACGCTACCTGCAACCACTGGTTCTCGTTGCTGAAGCTGCTCATCAACGTTCCGGAGGTAACCTTCAGTCTTCTGAGTCTGAGGTCTGGGCACACGGAGTTGTTGGTGTTGGCCTTGAGTATTCCCCAAAAACCCCAGGCCCCAAATCTGCACAGCCGAACCCCAAACCCCAAATACAAAAGGCTTTACTTTAGCACGCTTTAGCTCTTCAAGGATCTTAGTGGCTTAAGGATTGCGTCCTATCTGAGGGCATGTCGCTGTCAGGACGAAGCAGAGCTGAGGGACGGAAACTCTGCGCCCTGGACCCTAAGTTTAGGCTTTAGGGTTTAGGGACCCTAAACCCTAAACTCCCTTTTTAGGGCTTAGGGTTTAGGGCTTAGGGTACTCTACAACCTGAGCCACGCTCTCCAAGCAACGCACCCGAAGCACACCACCGGAAGACACCCCCCCCCCTCCAAAAGTCCGAAGACCCTTAAACCCGATAAACCCTAAACCTTGAACTGAACCCTGTACTTAGGGTTTTAGGGTTTAGGGTTCAGGGTTTGGGGCTTATAGCATCGATCCAAAACCCTGTTCCCAGGGAGCAAAGACTCTAGAGAGTTTTTGTTGTTTAGGGGCTAAGGTTTAGGGTTTAGGGTTTGGGGTTTAGGGGTTTTGGGGGTCTCTCGGAGCCGCAGCCCACGGTGAAGGGAGCCCTGCCCCCTAAGCCTTGAGGGCCTTAAGTTCTAAAGCCCTAAACCCTAAAACCCTACCTACACCCCTAAACCCTAAACCCCAAACCCTAAACTCTGAAACCCTTAACACCCTAAACCCCTAAACCCCAAACCATCTATGCCCACCCTTTGTCGCCAAGTCGGCGCAGGCACCTGATTCGGCTCCAGAGCTTGCTCCAACGCTTCCTTCAAAGCGCCCAAGAAACCACAGCCCAGCGTTTCAGGCTTAACGTTTTGGCTTTAGGGTTTCGGATTGGAGTTTAAAGTTTAGGGAGTTGTTTGATATATAAGGTCGGTTTAGACGGCGCTTCAGAGGCTCTGTAATGCTACTAGGAGGTGTTCTTTAAGGGCTCGCAAAGAATTCTTTACAAGGCTCTTTGAAGGGTTCCATGCAATGAGGGCTCTATCAGGGGTCTGTACCAGGGGTCGATTTCAACAGTCCCAACAATATATCTACAATTATTATAGGGCTCTATGTTAAACAATAAGGTCCCGAATCGCTACCTGGCATACTGGTAGGAGTCCAAGTGCTTACGGCTTTCATGAGCCCACTTGCGGAGCACTCGAACAAAGCACTAACTCGCACTATGCCCTATCGGTCCGAAAGGTCCAACCGGTTTAGGAGTTTAGTGTTTTGTGGTTTCTGGATAGTAGCAATGTAGGTCAATCAATATCTGGGGGAAAAACGAGTACGATTCTCGTGCTTGGACCTGTAGCCTTCACTGCTATTCTCGTTCCATAATGGTAGTATATATG